CGGGCAGCCTCCCAGAGGAGGCTCCTGCACGCAGCCGCCCCAGCCCCCCCAGGGTCCCTGCTCCCCTCTGGAAGGGCTGGATCGCCTGACCCAGGGGGATGTGTTGTGGGGGCAAGATGCCTCCATTATCCACCAGCCCCTCTGCCACCCATCCCACCTGAAGCCCACAGGTATCCCCTGGCATGGGGGAGGGGCCCGTGGTTCCTACCTTATGCCCCCCTTGGTGCCCGATGGGTTTGGAAGTGCTTGAGGTGCAGGGGACCGAGAAGCAGGGCACCCCAGAGGCTTTGTGCTGAAGAACTGGGGGGCAGCTGGGGCACCCACGTGCCAGGTGCCATGTGTAGCATTAATGCCAAGGTGATGCCATGGGCATGGGGTCCTTATTCCTTGTGGATGGCCCTGCCTGCATGAAGCCTGGGCAGCCCTTGGCCTGCTGGGCACAGGCATAGCTGGTGTTACACCTCCCAGCAAAGAGCTTGTCCCCAGGCACTGCCACTACCTGGGGCACCAGCAGAGCCAGAGCACGAGCTGGGTGAGGGAGGGCAGTGCTGGGACCACACTCCCCCATCCCCTTGGATGTGGTCTGGGCTGGGTGGTGCAAGGCTCAAGATCCCATTAGAAACCCATTTGTCTACAGGGGTTATCTGGGGCACCCCCTACCCTTCCCACAATCGATGTCCCTGCCTGGCCAACATGCTCTGGGCAGCCTCTGGCCCCTGCCTGCTGGATAAGGGGCTCTGTTAATGGGCGACAGAGCAAACAGCCTGGTGCAGGCAGGTGATAGCAGCTGCCCTTTGCCCTGGGCTGGGGGCAGGGACTGTCCCTCCAGCCCCAGTGGGATCCATCTGCTTTGAGGCTGTGCTGGGAACCTCACCCACGTGCCCTGCACTTGCCTGCAGCCTGCCTGACCTCCCCATGCCCTCTGTGTCAGGCACAATGCCTGTCACTGCATTGCCCAGGGATGTTGGCTACTGGACCGTGGGTGGGCTGAGCTCTTCTCACCCCAGCCAAGCTCTGGAGATGGCACCATTAAGGTGTAACTGCTGGGAAGCATGATAAGATAGAGTGGTCCTTTATCAGGGCTGCCCGGTAGCAGGGGGAAGGTGCTGGAAGCATCAGGCTGTCACAGGAGGAGTGAGATTGCCTGGAGATAAATGCTGATAGAAAATAGCTAATCCATGATGGATGGGCTGGGGCAGGGAGCTTGGCTAATTGTCATGGGAGCTGGGTTGAGGGAAGCCAGAGCAGGGAGGTGGAGGCAGAGGGAGCCTGCGTGTGTGGGATGGAGCTGCAAGTGTGAGCACACCTTGCCCCTGGCTTGTGTGTGTCCCTGAGCTGTCCCTGCAGCATTGCCAGTATTGGTGCTGTCCTGCTTTTGTCCACCAGCTGGTTCCTGGCTCTCAGCCCACCCTGTCACCCAGCCTGGTCCAGCCCTCAGCACCCACCCTCCCTTCCAGGTCATGGGTGTCAAGTACCCTGTGCTGGCTGGCACCCCACCAGATGAAAATAAGGGGGCTGACAGGACCAGGGGGCAGCAGGGGGGAGCGAGGGGCTTCCTGCCAGCTGGTCTGCATCCCCCATCTGTCACGATGCTTTCATTAGAGCCACTGATTCACCTCTTGGCAGTGTCACCATGCGGGGGGAGCAGGACTGGTCCCAGGAGAGGATTGTCCCCCCCCTGCTCCCACCCTGCCAGGTGTCCTGGCAGCTTCATCCCTGAACTGAGACTGTGCCTCTGTACAGCAGGGATCCCTGTGGCACCTCCATTGCTTCTTTAACCTTTCACCACATGGGACGCCACAGGGCTGGGAGGAGGAGCGTAGCCAGGACAGATAGATCTTGGCTGAACTTAGGGAAAGGCAGTAGCCCCAGGGCAGCTGATGCTGTTACCTTTCCCTGTGTCCTGTCTGCACAGGCCTTTGTCCCCATCCTGCACCTGCACAGCCAACTGGGAGAACTGACACTTGTGCCTGTCACTCCGGGGAGCTGGCTGTGCCACCACCCATGTCACGCCAGCAAGACCAGAAGCAGGGCCATGGGGGCTGCTCCCTCCACTGCGGGGACCTTGAGGACGCCCAGCCAGGGTGGCATGGTAAGAGGACATACCTTGGGGGTGACCCCTCACCACTCCAGGCCCTCCCCAGGGACCTGTGCCTGGCTGTAGCACAGAGCAGGTCTGAGCCAAGGGAGAGGGAGGCTCTCAGAAAATGAAATGCTGAGCAGGGTCCTGGCCACCTCTGTCGTAACCTCTCCTGCTGTCTCCCTGCTCCCTCTCCCATCACATTTTAGGGTGCTGCTGTGGGCAGAGATAGAGACCCCAGGCCTGGGTGGGCTCTCTTCCATTCTCCTTTCCTCCCCCCATTCTCCCTGGCTGTTTGTCCCGTTCCAGAACCATCCCAAACTCTTGGGACTCCAGACTTCTGGGCTGCATCAGTGCCAGCCACAGACTGCAGCCACAGGGGAGCAGAGACTCTCAGGAGGGGACATCCCACAGGGGCTGGCTGTGCAGTGACAGGTGTCCCAGGGTTTCCAGCATCTCTCAGGAGAGAGCACCCCAGCACAAGGGGCAAAGCAGGGCTGGCAGCATGGATCCGCAGGGGTGGGCCTGCCTAGGGGTGGCTGAGGGAGGTTGGGGCACATCTGGGGGCACCCAGGGGCACAGAACCAGCAGGGCAGGCAGTGGGTGGGAGCAGCAGTGGCCATGCACTTGCCCTGCGCCCACACACGTTCCAGCTCACCCAGCAGCCCCGGGAATGCAGCTGGCGTTGCTCCCGGCCCAGCTGTGGGGCCAAGGCCACCCTGGCACCCATCCAGCCCCTTGGCAGCTCCTGGCCCTGCCCAGCTTCTGCTGGCCTGCACACAGACCCCCTGTTCACTGCTGGTCCCTGGCCCGCTCTGCGGGGCAGGAAGGGGGCACCTCCTGTGTGCAGATGCCTATGGGGAAGAGCTCCTTTGCCTTGCAGTGTGGCACTCTGCATGGGGACTCAGGGACATAGGGAATCTCTCTGCAGCACTCCTGGGGAGTTGGGAAAAGCCACCCATGTCTGCTCCAAGCGCAGCCCTGTCCCTGGCACAGGGGCAGTCCTTGCATGGATTGGGTTCCCAGCCAGCACCTCTGCTAAAGCTGGACCTTGGCACCTTCCTCTGAAACCACATGTGCCTCCTGTTCTCCCCTTCTCAGGAGGGTGTTGCACCCCCCGCCCATGCATCTTCCCCTGTGGATTGTGCTGGGGGGCTGCCCCCACCTTCTACAGGGCCCCCAGTGCAATGGGGTCCTGGCACCTCGGGAGGCTGGCACAGACAGACATGGCAGTGCTGCAGGTGCCAGGGAGGGGAGCCCACCCTCAGGGTGCCCATCCTCGGGCTGTCCAAGCGGTAGGGCTGGGTGGCCCTGGTTTGGGAAAGTCTCGTCATCCTGTGTGAGGGTGCAGGCTGAGGCACTTGGAGCTGTTTTCCAGCAGCTCACCCCACCTCCCACTGTTGTACACACCTGGTGTCTCCCAGGAAAGGTTATCAGCTAATCACCCTGCCCTACTGTCTCTGCAAGCCTCCCAAATGTCACTGTTGTCCTCACTGGAGAAGTGAGCTCATGGTCCTCCCCATCTTTTTAATGAAAGCCCCCCTTCCAGTGCTACGAGAAGCAGCTGCCAGGGCTCGGCCCTGCCGTGGCTCCCCTTTGAAGTGGAGCCAGAGTTGCTGACAGCCCTGAGGGGCAGGGGAGGGGGCTCAACATGCAGCAGGTGCAGGATGGGGCCCCACGGGCTTGTCCTGGGCTGGCTGTGGGGCTCCAGTAGCCCCTCATGGCCCCCAGCCACCATGCTATGACAGCAGGGAGGGCTGGAGTACATGGATGGGGTGCAATGCTGTGCACCTGGGGACAGGTCGGGAACACCCCCCAGTCCTGGCCTGGGAGCCAAGTGCAAGGGCTGGACCAGGGGCATTGCTGGGGCAGGGCTGTCATGGTGTGATGGGCATGGGTGTGCTGGCTGCATGGGGTTGTTTGTT